GGAGCTCAACCTCCTCCTTCCCCCGAATGTCACGGAGCTGGTTTATGGTATTGCAATGTTTATGTTTTTCAGAATCAGAATATTTATTTACACTGGAGGATGTCCAATTGTGGCGGGTAAGAACGTTGCAACAACAAACAGTACAAAAACATGTTAGTAGTGCAACATATAAGGTAAACAAATCACCCAAACACATACAAATAAAACTAAACAATCCCCATCCTACCACGAATGATAGCTCAACAAAGTGGCCCATCGTTTGGACATTTATAGTAGCAAAATAATATAAACAATATGCATGTGTCTAAACGTGTAGGGAAAAACCAGAGGACCCGGATAAAAAATCCCCGTGACCACGGGGAGCACATGCAAATTACAAATATACAGACATCAGGATTGGGATCGAACCCCCGACGTCCTGCATACAAGGCAAAGAAGATAACGTCTAACCATCGTGGCACCCCTTTAATAATATTGTTCACGACTGGGGAAAGTTCTCGCTACACCGTGGGGGCTGTTTGACCATATTCTACCATGGCGGTCTGTGCGGGTTGGTGAATGAAATGGCCCAGGACCTTTTATCATATAAATTGCATATGGTAAACCAACAGTGCACTAATCACCGTATCACTGCTGCACTCATCGTTTACATGCAGTAAATTATACTAAAAACTAGTTTTTATTTTACCACTTAAGGCCCACTGAGCAAAATCGACCTGGTCACAAATGATAACTCAACGAAGTAACTTATCAAGTGGAAATTTATAGTGGCAACCAAATATTCTTAAGCACATGTTACAATGATCAAGTTAGCTTATCGTGCAGTACATTCCGTGCAATGCACAATGTGAGTCTGGGAGTGTTTAACTGAGGCTGGGCAGGGGGTAAGCTAGGCACTCCAGAAGTGCGGCGATGGTCTCCAAATTGTCGTACATTTGTTTCACTCTGTGCCCGGTCCTTGGTTTAAGGACAGCGCTGGCAAGATAATCCCTGCCATGGTCTAGCCCCGAAAAAGTCACAACTTGAACATTGATAAATATATGTGTACGTATGATGATGTGTACACATGTGTGTAGATCCCTTTTTTCAATCCATTGCTAGATGGGGGGCCTCAGTGAAATGTTACATTGCTGGTAGAAATCAATATGAAACTTTGTTTTCTATTTCAGAAGAACGTGCATCTGTTCGAACTAAATATGAATCAAATTAATCAACGGCCTATTGATTCATTGCGAAATAATTCATGTGATATTGTCTTGTTTTCATAATAAAAAAACATACATCTATGCAAGCATATCTAATGTTAGTTGAAATGATGCCAAATTCAATGAAAATCACGCCAATACAACACTCTTGAGTGAGCGGAGAAAAACAAAAAATCACAGACGAAATGGCTTCTATCCATTGTCTGTTCATTAGTTGCAAAATATTACACTTTAACGGAGTAAAATCCAATATTAAAAAAAAAACGGCATTTTCTTCCAAAGGCAATATTAATCCTCAGAATATCATGGGTGCTTAGTATACTGTTCGGCAGCAGCAGGTTGCAGAGGCCTGGTCAATAAAATCAATAGCACACTAGGTTTTAGCGGTTTAGTGAGATCTATTTTTTTTCTCGCAGCGTGTGGGCAACATGGGTTGTTGTTCTGCTGGGCTGAGGCGGCGGTGCGGGGGGACAGCTTGAGGTGCGGCTCGTTGGGACCAAGGCACGCGAGGTGAAGGGCAGCCACAATCTGGAAATCGCCGTCTTAACCCGGGCTGACACCGGGGTCTGCACAACGGTGCTCAGTCCAAGCCTTTAAAACCGTGTAATCCGCCTAAATGGGAATAAGTGAATCGATTTTCTCAAATTTCTTGGGCCTTTTACACAAATCGTGCTCACGAAGGGGGTGACGAGTGAATGCTGTATTGTCGCCGTTCAAATAGAAATGTTATTTGATAGTTGCATATTCGCTTCATTTTGGTATTGTTACAGGTGCAAGTTGCACCTTAGCATAGCCAAAGAAAAGGAGAAATGAATTACAGCCCAAAAAAGAGTTAACATAAATATTACATTTTGATTTAAAGCTTTCGTGACTGGAGGGATTAATATTATTGGTTCTTGTGACTTTACCGAAAGAACCAACAATATAAATATTACAGGTTGGACTTTGCCTATTTTAAGACAAACTCCAAGCAACATTGAAATGCCTCGAGGAGTAAATAGACGAACTGTTATCACCACCTTAGATAATGTAATGACTAACATAGTCATGGATAGTGCATTGAATGTGGGGGATAGAAAGGGGGATAGGGTTCAAAAGCAAACCGAGAACATAAGTCAACATCACGAAGTAGAGGAAGAGGAGAGATATTACAATAGACTGAGATGTTACACAGAAGAATTAATACACAGAACTCTGTTTACTTATTAGGGATAGAATGAGACAAAATCAGAGGATACGACACAAATTGACTGAAGACGGCACAGCGAGCAATGGGAGAAGAACAGCAATGCAACAGGCTGATGATTGGCTGTGAACTGAATGGTAGTTTTTTAGAAAGAAAAGTGGAACCATAAAATAACCTTAAAATTAGGGGAGAAGTTGTATTCGGATCTCTTAAGCAGAAAAAAAATCACAGGAATGAAACCATTCTTTGGATGACCAGGAGGAAGTTTCAGATGTCACACTTGATGAAGTTAGCTGTGCCCTTGACAGTATGAAAAAGAGAACGCTTCTGAACCAAATAGGATAAACGTGGACATTGTCAGAGAGGTGGGGACTAAGTTGCTGAAACAATAATGATTCGATCTCACTGGCTAAATGTTCACACGCATGAAATACCTCAATCGTGCCATGATGCATGCTGATGTGTTGTGAAAGGCAACATGCCGTTGTTTCCTCCAAAAGAAAGTTGGAAATCAGTGTATAATCCAAGTTATGACGTATGGATCAGACCATGGGCCGTGACAAAAAAACTGAAAAGTGACAAATATGGAACAAAAACGGGAAAAATGTTCGAAGAAGTTGCCCACTGAGAAGCAGGAAGTGGAACACGTGGATTCGAGCTGTGGTTCTCAACCTGGTTTGGCTACTGAATCACCCCTTGTTGAATGTTGTTTCAACCGAGTGCCCCCTTGCCTGACCCAACATGGTTCTGAGAAATAAATGTATAAATAATGAACATCGATATTTTAATTCTAGATTTGAAGCTTTCGTGACTGCAAGGATTCATATTCTTAGGTTTTTTCGGTAAAGTCACGTAGGTAAAAAAATTAAATTAATTAAAGTAAAATAAAACAAGAGAACGCTCTCTCATTTACTTGATACAGCTGTCGTGGCTGTGACGGTTCCACCTGAAGACGGAGGCTTGTGTTGCTTCCGAAACGTCGTGATTTTTTATTTTGTTTTATTTTACTTTTAATAATTTAATTTTTTTACCTACGTGACTTTACCAAAAAAACCTAAGAATATGAATCGATATTTTAACCAATTGTCCATTTTGTGCGGTATCCTGACTAGCTGCTAGTAATTGCAAGCGAATAAAATAATTTAACGGACGCTCCGCACGTGTGACGTAGTGTATTCGTGCTCGCTGCTTACTCTCGGAAACCTGCATTGTTTACGATCAATGAACTCTTTTATATCGTTATTGGATTTACATTTTATCGTAGTTATTTTATATTGGCAGATTCGTACAAGATTATTCACCAATGCCTCTCAAAGTATAATATCATTTCACACATGTATAAATCACCTCACGCACCCCCATGGGTTCTGCGTAACCCCAGTTGAGAACCACCGCAAGTTACAGACATCATATTGATCTTGCCAACACCCTCGCCTGCAGAATATTCGGGTCTCGCTCCGACTACTGTAATGCCATTCTCTCCCTGAGTCATCGTCAAGCAAGATCCTCAAATTGCAACGGTTGCAGAACAACCTTGCTCGTGTTGTCCTTGGTGTCCACCATCTACGACTCAGCTCAGCCACCGCTCTCCGTACTCTTTCACTGGCTCCCTTTCGCCAGCAGGACAAACTATAAAATCACCTGCCTTTGTCACCGCGCCTTCACCAGCGGTTCCCCACCATGCCTTGCCGCACCGATCCTCTCGTTCACTGAAGGCTCATGGTAGAAACCTTAGCAGCATCACTCAAAGTCTGCTTCGGACACCAAAGTTCTCGAACTGAGTTAGAGCCTCACGTAGGTTCGCTGCTGGTGCCCCCTCGATTTGGAACTCTCTATATCCCTTTGCACATCCGCAACATTAAATGCACTCTGACTTTTAAGAAACAACGAAAGGCCTGTATCTTGATTTAAAGCTTTCGTGACTGCAGGGATTCATATTCTTGGTTCTTTCAGTAAAATCACGTAGAAGGGAAACAATAAAATATATATATAACAATAAAATTCTCACGACGTTTCGACTGCAACACAAGCAATCATCATCAGGGGTGAAAAAACACAGCAAGACTTTACCGAAAGAACCAAGAATAGGCCTGTATCTGTTTGGTCGGGCTTTCGAGCAGCCCCGAGTTTGGCTCTGCGCCTCTGAGTTGTTGACTTGTCTGCAAAATATGGCGCGTTATGAATGGCATTATTATCATCATATCGACTGTTACGAGAAGTGGGTCAGCTTGGGCAGGTATACACGTGGTCGAGACAATGACGAAGAGTAAACTCTCTCAGCAAGGATAGAGTTGTGAAATCAGCTCGTGTGCAGCTGCTAGACGGTGCCATTGCATTGCAAGACCAATACAGATGGTGGCAGCTTGGGAGAGGCCTTCATCCAGCAGTAGATAGACCATTGCTATTGATGAGGCATATCCACGAAGGCACACGTAGGAACCAAATTAAACAGGACCTGATTAAATTTAGCATGGACTGAATTAAAACAATGATCTCGACCGTGAATGATCAAAACTTTGCATGAAGGATAATGCACAAAGGATGGCAATGTGAGGACAAAAAAACGAAAATAACGTTCAATAAAGTAAAAAATAAATATGCAGCGTTACCTTTTTGCTTTTTGCACATGTAGGCCGAGCTGTCTTCCCAGGGCCTGTGCGGCAATGCCGTCGCCGTGAAGTCATCGGGCGGGCACCGTGCCGGCGTCCCTGCGGCGTCGCCGGGAGAATCGGCGTCGTAGGAGGACGAAGAAGGAGAACCTCTTTGAGACCTCACGTCTGAGCTCCCGAAAGAGTTGCAGCTGGAGGACCGGCGAGGCTGCTGCTGCTGCAGCTGCTGCGACGCGATGTCGCACCGGCGCAGCGCACCAAACGACAGGTCCAGTGGCAGGTGGGAAGCACTCGCTTGTTTGTGAATGAGTCCCTCTGCTTGTCGATTGTCAAAGCCGGCCATAAAGCGTTCCTCTGAGTCTTCACGAACGAACGGGTTTCGGGGCTCACAGCCCTTGTCAACATATGGCATTTTCTTTGGCTGGGCGTAATCATCCGTCACCTCCGCGCGGTAAATGCTTGGAGGCATTTCTCCTAGCAGGAGTGAGGGACGGGAGATGGTACAATGTGGTGAGGGACAGGTGAAGAGACCAGATCAGATGCGGTCTGGCTGGAGGGTTGTGAAGCTGGCATCACCTCGAGTTTAACTGTAATCGCACAATAAACTTCAACACGTGGAGAAATTGGGCATCGATTGCTTCAAAAGCTGGGTCCTTTGATTGATATGTTCTACACAGCACTTGAAATAACGACAATAAAAAAACCGTGCTTCAGATTTTGTTGCGGGACCTTGGGTTTTGACCATGAACTGACGATGTTGGCAAGAAGACGACCGCCTGAATATGAAAGTTTTCACGAAAAGGTCGGGATGTGGATGACCTGAGCCTGGTCATGGGAGGCTACGTTTTCAACACGGCGCTGTAATGAAACGTCAAGAAAGTTTTCGCTTGCTCTATTACGGTGAGCGCTGCCCTTAATTTGGCCCGTCCACACCAGACTGTCGAACCGATTGCCTGCCTCCTCCCTGGACAACGGGGTGCACTCCCTGAAACAAAACAAAAAAGCGCCACTCAAACGAGACTGGATGAGTTAACGGAAGAAAACTCACTTTTTGAAATGTGCTCATCTGTATTTTTCTGCCATAAATTTCCACACCGCCGATTATCACGGTTGGCCACACGTGAAATAAGTTCAACATGCGGACAAATTGTGCTTTGTGTATATCAATAATGAACTGCAAGGTTGCTGTGAATAATGCATAAAGCCCTACAGTGTGGATACTGAATCGAGGCGTGCAGTAAACTCCACAGTATATGTTTATGGGTTTTTTTTTATTTTAAACGTTATAAATAGCACGGCTAAAGGAACGGCATTAATATACTTCTCGTTTACGCCGGCGCTGGCGCGGGAACATGCGATCACCGGCCGGCCGGGGCGACTTGCTCCGCTCGTTAACGCAGCCGCCCCCGCTGAATAGGAACTGAATCCGCTGCAGCCGATGCGATGCCTGTAACTTGCACCGGTTCGTGCCGCGCATTACTGGTCTAATGTGCATCGTCTCTTCGTCCAACTTAAGGCTTTCCAAATTACGATGAGACACGCAGCTGCTCCATAGAGGCGCGAGGCTGCATGGAGCTTCAAGGAGAGACTCTCACTCTAATACCAACAATTAATTACGTTGATGGTTGTGTTAGTTACATTTTATAAATGCAAGCGATTCATATTTAGCAGATCTCGGAGCCACAAGCAGATAGATGGGAAAGTCCTGGAACGTTGAGTAATTTTCTCTGGAAAGCATCCAATCCTTTGAATGTTTATCCAAGTAAATTCTGGTAAAGTACTACTTAAAATTACCCGGTTGGAAGCCAACAATTTATTTCTACAAAATAATCACAGTGCCAACAAATAATTGAGCACATTGACTCTACATGCGAATGTACATCGTACGCGTCAAACGATTTAAATGGCTACGTCTATTTTGTTTTCCTCGCCTTCAACGTTTTCCGTATCGTTACTGATCGTCTTCCCGCATCAGATTGAATATGAAAATAAACAAAAATTCCAATCAAGCCATACGTTAAACCGCACACAATGCGACGTTATTCGCAGACTCGGTCCCACGCTCGCCCCTGTCAGAGAGGCGACTCTATAAGCCACCGAGGCCAACGGTGGAATGACCGAGAAGAACGAGCGGCTGCCGTGTGGTCGTCGGCCGAACTCTGGACGATTCTGAGGCAAAAGACTGGAGATTTGTGCTTTTAAAGACTCTCTAGGGAACGGCAGCTTGACTCAAAAGGTCATGTCGTGTGTTCGGTTTACTTAAATAGGTTGGCTGCTGAGGACAGCGTGGTTCAGCGTGGGCAGCCTGCATGGGTTGTGATTGGAGGTTTAAAGCCTTTGGGTGGCTGTCCGACCTGAGCTGACAGGATTGCGAGGACAGCGTCCCGGTGACACTCGGGGCCTTCCCGGCCATGCCACAGAGGGCCCCACTCCAGGGCTGCCCTCCCCACTCTCCACCCGGCGCTCCGTCCGTCCCACCACCCCCGTTCAACAAACACAATCTGCATCTGCCCTTTTGTGTAGTCGCCCCTTCATAAAAATAACAATATTCACTCTCTAATCTCCTCCTATCTTTCACTTCCGCTCTCCTTTCTCTTGCTTCTCTCTGCTGTTTCCTAGATCATAACTGGGGGCTTTCTACTGTTATTGTTCATGTTTGTGCCACCAGTCCGTGCTATCATGTACCCGTTGTTGAAAATATATACGGGTATTTTTTTTTATCTTGGAGGGCTGCTAAAATGAAGAGTAGAGTAGTGATTAAAACTGCACACCCTACTGCATAGGTGTTCCCAATTGCGCTGTGTGGCTCTCCGATGTGTGGTCAGGTTCTAACCGCGTGTTGTTCGGCCTTTCTTGAAGGAGCTCCCAGAACGTGAAGCGAAACGTCCGGCATCGTGAAAACGACACGCGGTACAACCCAACAACACATCAGAGAGCTAAAATTGCACGGAGAAATTACAATCGTGGTAAGTTGTACCGACCAGATTCCTTTCAGCAGTCCTCACTGTGGTCAGTAAAAAAAAATGTTATTGTGTTCGTGTACTGGGTGCAACTTTGCGCATTGGCTATCATCAATACCACAGAGCATTCGGATTTGATGCACACAGGGATCTGCTTTGGGTCGATGCCAAGGGAATTCCCCGTGGGCGATAGCTGTTATGCTCAGACACATTCCTGTAATACTACTACCCACACCCATTGCAATTTTAAGGCAATAAAACACGGCTTCGTTATAAAATAAAGGAGGCTCATGTTGAAGCAATGCTCTGAAGGGCCTTTTGCCGAAATGTGTTGCCACTGCTGTGCAGTATATTGTTAACGGTGTAAGGTACTCGCTGCTTGAATTGGAAACAATTCCACTTGGTCAAAATCAAGTTGCTTGGAAAACTCGAGAGGATAGATAGCCGTTTGGACTCTTTCCAATGAACATACTATCTATTCACAGGCTCGAAATGCACCCGTTCTTTATATTTGTCAAATACGTGCATTCATGATGCATTGAATTAAGTGTAAAGTCAAAAATAGCTCAACACATCAGATTGTTTCTGATAAAAACTGTAATCAGGCGGCTGCTCCAGGAACCCGTGTAAACCATAGCACACAGTGCGAGGAGCGGGCTGCTACAGAGACCCAATTTTTCTCTTTTTTTAAACTGCTCTTACCCGATTTTATCCTTGCCATGCACTCGGTGTCACACGATCACGCGACTAAGAATCAATTCAGGAGTCTCACAGAAGGCAGTGCACGTCTTCGTGTTAGAGACAGAACTACCTGTGAGACCCCTTGCTTCAAGTGACGTCGGGTCTACGCACGGTAGAGGGCAGCAATTTTTCTCACCCACCTACTCTGCCAACAAGAGTAATGTTTGTCACGTGAATAGTCAAAATGATGAATTTTTTGTATTTCTCAGAGCCGGAATTGAGTGAATTTGAACGCACAGCCAAAACTGAACGTTAATGGACGTTTGTTGTTGTTGTGCAGTCATTGGTGACCTGGAATACTTACAGGAAACCTCGTGGGCTTTCGCGATGTAAGTGGCGAAGTTTTATTTCGGTGAGCTCTCGTCGGCGATGGCCACTGGCAATTGCGGTTCTTTAAATTTGACTCTTATTTGACATTTTAATAATTCCAGACATTTGACCTTTACGCAGTGAAACAAAAAAAATCCCAATGAGTGTGCAAAGGGGGTGGAAGAGGCAAATCTTTGCAACCAAATGAAATGTCACCAGAAAACATATAAGACTTTATCATTTAACCACGATGCATTAATCTCTGCAACAGACAGAAGGCCTTAATGAGATCTGGAAGCCTATAATTGCTTAGCAGGTGAGTGTATAACCAGTGTTCTTGTGAGCACTGCCAGCAGGTATTGATTGGCAAGCACTGGGTGCTACATCCATGTGAGTGCGAAAATCAGGGGGGTTGGGGGGAGGCTTTACACATACCCACGCAAGCGTGCGTCTAAGGCATTAGGGGGATTGCCCCGAGAAAACACTGCCATGGGATGTGACCATTGGCAAGTCGATAGGGGGGCTGTCACTGTGGAAGCTGGTGGAAAGAGTGATGGATGCTACCTTCTTGGTTCTTTCGGTAAAGTCACGTAGAAGGGAAATAATAAAATAATAAAACATTTACATAATAAAATTATTCTCACGACGTTTCGGCCACAACGCAAGCAGCCGTCCTCAGGTGAAAGACAGCGTCTGAATGAACACCACCAGGCTTGGCAGCGTATATTTAAGCTGGGTTGGAGGGGGAAGAGCGCCTTGACACAGGATGCTACCTTGCTTTAACCACCGTGCTTGGTGGGCTGCGGAGTAGTGAATATGTACACGTGAGCATCTTACAGCCCTTTTGGTCATTCCGCTGGTAGACGGGAAGGAGTGGGGGGGGGGCCTCTCTCACCCGCGTCGTGGCGATTTATCGACCCAACTATACAAGTCTGGTCAGTGTGGGTTTGGCGAGGGCGGAGGAGCTTAGACGTGGGGAACCTGGCAGAGTGCAGCGATGGGCCTTGCTGCACTGCCCCTGCTGCCTTCAACGTAGCTCCCTCAAGTCCCACGGCAGCCTGGTCACCGTTCCTCGCAACCACGCAATCCGAATCTGGCGAGGTCGAGCTTTTGCTGCGCGGTTTGACCTCAGATCGACTGTGACATCTGACACGTGCAATGCGACGTCTCATGTCTGCTAAAGGACGTCTGCAAGTGAGTCTGTGCAATACAGCTCCAGCGTTACGGAAACTATCTTCCGTTCCAAGTTCTTGAAGCCAGGCCTGACTTACGTGGTGGTACTTTCGTCAGGAGTGTTTTGAAACGAGCACTGCTCTTGAAGATAGAATGCGAGGGTAGTGCATGAATGCCACACGAGTGATATTTCAGTGTGTCATGTTGACACTGAATGTACACCTGCGTTGGAAAGTTTTCCATCGGATATGATTGCTTACAATTGATACAGAAAGAGGGACACGTGGATCAGAGAGCAAACAGAGATTGTAGATGAGAAAATGAGAATAGGTTTTATCCTTTCTGGCAACCGATTCTTATTTTTCATCATTTTTGACATTGGCAAAAAAGGTCCCATAGATATAACTGCTCAACCCAAGCTAAATGTGCATTCTCGTTATGCTGTTCAACTTTTGGCGTTCTCTCGTCTAGCACTGGTGACACGTAGCCCATAAAGAAGGCTGTCTTAGGTGTAGGCTAATCAGCTTCAAAGACAATGCATATATTATCAGAGCATGTTTGTTGGCATGTTTTTTTCCCCAAGTGTGTATGGTCAATGCAGACTTGATGCCTTACAAAATGTATTTATTTTGTGTTTGAAGATCTTAACACCTTTTATTGCCGAAAAGGGTGCAAACCTATTCTTATTCTTTCATCATCTTTTATACTGGCAAAAGACGTCCCACAGATTAGAGACTTGGTAGTGGCTGTTAAGTAAAGCCAGTGGGCTTGAGCAGGGCTCATCGGGGCCTCGAAGGGACGATGGTCATTGGACGAGACTGGGGGGACGCCTATAGCAGCTCCATAGAGAAACGGACCGCAGCGGAAAGAGAGCAATGTGGTGAGTTTGTGCGCGAGTGTGAGATGGATTGTGGCATCTCTGTGAGGGATGGCGATGGATCATTCACTAGTCAACACACTTTTTCTGGCATAAGGTATTCCAACGGTTTTAAGGTAATTTTGGGGTGCTGATTCCAAATCTGGCATCAGGTTTTTGAGATATCAAATATTGCATTTTTAATCAAAACTGCAGAAGAAAAATATTAAATAAATGTGGATATCTACATAAAATTATATTATAAACACACTATCCTAAAAATACAGCACCATATTTTAACACTAAAGCAGTCACTGACTCGCAAGAACTTGCAATCATAAGTGACGGAGTTAATTTCGGGTAAAATCAATGAAAATGGGGTATGCCGATAGCATAAGAATGAGATGTGATAGAGCAAATCTGAGATCAGATTTGGAATCAGCACCCTGAAATTAGTCTAAAACAGCTGCAAAAGTCCAGGCCAGAAAAAAATGTTTTTTTTTGTTGACCAGTGTGTTTGCATGGTGTTTATAGGCTTGTCAGTGAAGGTACCTTGGAATGGTTCTTAGATAACAGGAAAAATGTTCACCATTTCCTCGTGAAAAAAAGAACCCAGACGTGAGCTCAGTTTTTAAAGGGTATGCAGTAACTTAATATTGCAGGTAAAGTACACTACATTGCAGAGACTGCAATGTTTGCTTTAGGCGATCTTGATATGATGGCACCTCTCCAGTTATACCTGTTCAGCAATTTTGTTTTATTCTTATACAACTACGGCACATACTGTTGCGTGTATTGCTGAGATAAGCTGTCAGCCGCCAAGCCCTGTCGCTGGCGGAGTGTTTACAGGTGGGGCTGTGAGGGTTCACAGAGTTCGTCTTTCCACATCGCCGCTCGTGGCGTTTGCCTCTGAACGGTGGCGCGAATTGCCGCTGGAACGCACGAGCGGGCCTGTGCGCCCTCGTGGTGTCACAATTCCAACATCGCTCATAAAAAATTAACCCGTAAAAACAAAGTTTTTCACTATAAATCCTTTATATGCGTGGCATCGGTTTTATTTTATTATTCATTTCTGTTTTTCTTGAGTAAGAGTTTCATTTTTATCACATTGGTATTTTAAATTAAATATGAAAAAAAAATTCCTAAAAAGTGGAAAATTTTGGAAAACATTTTTTACGAAAATAAATTGTCACGCACAACGAGTCTGTGTGCAAAATGTCAGCTCGATTGGATCACGGGAAGTGGGTTTAAAAACGACCGAAAGATTTGCACGGTCGTAAGCGTGCAAGCAAGCAAGCAAGTTAACTTAATAAAAAGGATTTAAAAACCAGTCACCTCAGACTCACCGCTCAAACTTTGCGGCACTCTTCAAGTCAAATGTCTTTGGTCAAGCATTCTAAGTTGTCGATGCTTATTGTGTCTTGTGTGTGTGTGTGTCTGTAGATTCGTTTTTTATGTTACGCGTTCGTGGAGTTTCAAAATCAAATTCCTTCTCGTTCATCTAGATCTGCGTGTAGATGTGAGGCACTGTAAACAAATTATACATGGTGATGCTGATGTTCCTTTCATTACCTGATCCACCAACTCAACTCTCATCTCACTGTACTCCCGCTATCCGTATACGTTGCTATGGCAACAATGGCCACTTGGTAAAGTGTAAATTTAAAGTTTATGTTGTTTAACAAGGTGAAAACTCAAGACACCAGGATGAATCTCATTTTGCAAGTGACCTGGGGGTGGGTCATTCGTCTGCCAGTAAGAGCCGATGTTAAATCCCAATTGAGTAATTTGCCGTGGAATGTTTTATTTTGACAAATTTGAACCCTGGACGTAAGAACACAATGGCCCACTCCTGTGATTGATGTCAGGCGATCTTTAACGTCTACTGTGAACCAGACAGCGCGTGGTGTTATTGTGGTTATTGCCCCCTCAGTATTAACTAGGGCGGCCGCTGGAATCGAACCTTGAACCTCTGCAATAAGCGGCGAACAGGATCACCGCTACCGCTGGGCCTTGTCACCGCCTCCGACTGCGAGATGTCACCTCCTCCCTCTGCTGCTCCTGGTGTTTGGGATTCTCTCCCTTTGGCTGTCTGCACAGCTGTTTCTCGATCCTCTCCCCTAAAGCTCTTCCTTCATACTCTTTGATGCTGTCGGTAAAGTCACGTAGGAATAAAATAAAATAAATCACGACGTTTCGGGCGCAACACAAGCGTCCATCATCAGGTGGGAAAGCATGGTCTGCTGCTGAGGTAGACTGTTTAACATGACTCTACCATTGGTTGGTTATGTGTGCGAACAACATTCTGCCATAACTTTTCCACTTCTTTGCCATTACATCTCCATCCCAAATCTTCAATATTCCCATTTCTCCCTTGGTTGCATAAATTATAGCTGTTCTTGCCCCAGTGGTTACGCATTTCCGGACAATTCAGCGCTGGTGTGAGGTTGCATCACGTGTTTGTATTGTTTGTTGTTGTAACTCTCTGGCCCGCCCCTACTGGACATCTGTGAAAAAGAGCTTTACATCTCATCGGATTCCTCCAGTATCAATTAATATTCAGATTTTGATACACACAGTGGTCGTGGCCCCTTGTGCACAGGGCGTTGCACCACTGCTCTGTCTGTGCAACCCGCTGTTTTGTTTTAGTTTTATTGTTCATTGTGTCCAAATGGCGCTGGTCATGTCTCTGCGCTTGCTCTGTACAGCCCCTTGAGATGCTTTGGTATTTAGATGCGGTGCACATTAAATTATTATTATCATATTATTATTGCGAGCGTGCATAATATCAGTAAACCCTTTCCCATTCCAATGATGTACTTGTACGTCATAAGAACGGAATCGGAAGGAAAAATAAAATAACTTCATCAGTACGTCTTCAGATCGGTAGACGTGCAGAGGCTCCCACAAGGCCATACGGGAGGGTTTGTGGTGCAGTTGGGCGCCAGCTATCATAGAGTGCAGTCACATCACTACAGTACTCTGCGGTGAGTACAATTGTCTTTAAAAACAACGGCGCGCTATGGCTCTCTAAATAAAATTAACGCTGGACCACTTGCGCGTGCTGAGAATCAGCGGTGAACGGGACCCACCCTGCAACTTGCAGACGTCACGGAACGGCGAAGGGTTAATGCGTGACCACAATTAATACCTCCAGCCCAATTTCCTCGACGCAGAGTCTCCCATTGACCTCACACACAAAACTCTGCTCGTGAGCTCTCCTCACCGGACATTGTCGATGCATACCGAGCAGAACTCTGCCACCCGTGCAATTCCACGCGGGAAACTGGAGATGAAGGGGGGAGAGCAAAGTGTTTGGTTAGGCATTCATTCAGGTCAACTGGCTCCTACATACCCTAACCGAGAGCTTTCCGCTAATCATGCTAATCATTTACAGACCTGCCAGATCTTCCCATGGGAATGGGTGCTCGCCACTGTGGGTGTCGTCATGGCTGTCTGGAAACTCCAAGATGTTTCGCCAAGACTGAGAGACACCCACAATATGTTGTCTATTTTCTGAGTCCGTGTCATTCTCGCTTCAACAAAGTGGAAAAATGCTGATGATGCTGATGGCGGAAACCTTTTAAATGCACAGTTGCGTACAAACAGTCTACACGGTACTACTAAGCCAGCAGCCAATAGTTGCGTAGATTCAAGATAGCTACCGTGCGGCAGAACTCGTCCCAATACGTGACGAAATTAAGGTCGAAACTTTGTGCATCCTCTGTCTGTAATTTAAGCGGTAACCATCCGGAACTTTTCGCAAGTCAAGACACCTCCAACTTCCAAAACGTTGCTGCGTCTGTATTACTGCATTGGCAGAATATGAAACCAGTGCTTGCGTAACATTTGTGCCTCACAGCAAGAAGGACCTGAGTTCGATGTGTGACTTTGGTGCAATTCGGTGGGGAGTTTGTATGTTTCTCTCCCTGTTTTGCATTAGTTTTCACAAAAGTTTTCTGGTTCCTCCAAACACAATGTAATCGATACTGTCCAAACATCCCAATGCAAAAAAAAAACTATCTGCATAAAACGTACTCCTCTACTTACGAACATTCGATTTACGAACTTTCAGAGATACGAACAAACCTGTCTGTATGCCCAGTTGCCCGTTCGGACCGAGGGTCGTAAGTTCAACCGCCGCGCAATAGATGGCGGTGGTGGCATCTACATCTGCAGAACATGAAGAACTAGTGGCATCTACATCTATAGGAGATTACACAACTTTTAAAGCCATTCCCCTATTTCGCGTACATGCGGTAAACATATTTGGAATCGACAGCAATAAAGTTGAACTTACGAACAAATCAACTTACGAACAGACCTCTGGAACCTAACTCGTTCGTAAGTAGAGGTGCCCCTCTATTACTTAAGTGGGATCACGCATCTCAGCATTGTCCCTTTATGCGAAAAACCTGGCAGGACCCTCCTGAATAAAAGTCTTCAGACTCGATGAGGATTCTCTGGGTAAACAAACGAATGACTAAACTGACGACCAATTGAATTCAGTTGCATTGCACTGGTGGATGCACCCCACCTCCCCTCCCCTCCCCAGCAGGGGGCCCTGAAGCGCTAGCCCCCCCCCCCTGCGTTTAGAGTTCGGTCGAACTGCCTTCTCCAGGACACCTCTCAAATTTGTTCACGTCCCTGACAAATCCGTGCACAGCATTAGAAGCGAGGTTGTCTTCTTGGTTCTATCGGTAAAGTCACGTAGAAGGGAAATAATAAAATAAAACATAATACAATAATTCTCACGAAGTTTCGGCCACAACGCAAGCAGCCGTCCTCAGGTGAAGACCAGGTCTGTCGGGGAGACAGCGTCCGAAAGAACCAAGAAGATGAATCCCTGCAGTCACGAAAGCTTTAAATCGAAATTTAAGCGAGGTTGTGTTGCGAGATGCAACTTGCATGAGTGACGCTATATAAAATGATGCCGTAATAACATCTATTTGCAAGGTTGTGACCGGGAAATCGGGTTGTGGTTTTTTTTCTTTCTCCCCACACCTAATTTCAAGTTGACAAAATAACTTTTTTCCGAGACCCACGCGATTCTCGTGTCCCTGATGTATAAAGGAACCCACTGCACGCTGGGCACTCACGGGAGGACACATTCACGAAGGAGCCGTGCTGTGCGAGGCGTCACACCGCAGGAATTGTACCACCTGTCTCTCTAAACTACATCATGGATTCAGCCGAACGCACCGGCATTCATGAGCAAACCTGGAGATGTTTACTTTATTAGCACCTCCTGGGTAAATAGAACAATGCATTAGTTCTTTATGAATGTAGTGTGTAACATCTAAATGCCATGTATAGGTCATAAAATTAGCACATTAGCATAATATCAATACTCAGTGATACACATTATGAATAAGAGTATATTTAAATTATTAAAAGTAAAAATTAGTTCCACGTAATATGTCACAGGATGTGATGTTCAACACTTTGAAACATCTAAATCTCCTCACAAGTCATCCATTGCAGACATATCTCTTGCTCCTCACCCGGTAGGTTTGAATAAAAGCCACGCCAAGAAAGAATTCGAGAAAATCGATGTCGCAAGTTGTACATGCTCTCATTCTTAGGTTTTTTCGGTAAAGTCACATAGGTAAAAAAAATAAAATTAATAAAAGTAAAATAAAAAAAATTATTAAAAAATCACGACGTTTCGGAGGCAACACAAGCTTCCGTCTTCAGGTGGAACCGTCACAGCTAGCGTGCTGTGACGGTTCCATCTGAAGACGGAAGCTTGTGTTGCCTCCGAAACGTCGTGATTTTTTTTTTACTTTTATTAATTTTAATTTTTTACCTACGTGACTTTACCGAAAAAACCTAAGAATATGAATACTTGCAGTCACGAAAGCTTCAAATCTAGAATTGTACATGCTCTCTTAAGACAAGAGAGTGCGACACACACACACGCGCAACGTACCTTCTTCAGCCTGCCTTCACTTAGCGCACACGCGAACGCGGGCTATAACCTCGTGCAGTCTCAACATTAAAGTGTAACCGATTGTTTAAAAACCTTTGGACGTGCAGGTTTGGGCAGCGTTCACGCACGGTGAAGGGTGGGTGGGGTGGGGTGATGAGGTGCCAGGCTTGGCAAACACTCGGCCCGACGGCGGAGAGAAGGAGTGGCGAGTCGAAGGAAGGGCGGTGTCGTGGCGGTGGCGGTGATGATGCTGCCGATGATGATGATGATGGTGGCCTCAAGTTGGCACCGTGACAAAATTTTGGGGGTGCACGCGAGTTTGGGACAGACGCCAGCTTTGGCTGCGTCGTAAATACCGCGCGTGCGCTCTCCCCGTGCACATGGTGAGACCAGTGGCCGGATTATCCCAGTAGCAAAAGTAGCTGCATATGCTACCGACCCCGCACTTTCAATGGCCCTGCGCTAAATGCTTTCAAGCTATCAATTCCGGTTCAGTGATTCTGGCACTTGCTCTATTACTATAGTGCTATACTGCCCTGAACTTTTATGAACGACTGGGTGTTTAAAGCTAGCGATTTGTCGTATTATCTGGCTGTATAGCAAATTAAAAAACACAATAACTTTACCGTGCAAGTAAAAAAAAATTATTTATGCGGTTTATTTATTTATTATTTAGGGCCCCTTTATAACATATGCTGCAGGCCCCGCATCGGCACTGGGTGAGACGGATCTCGCTACCTTGCTTTCGTGAGTGTGGCGGAAAAAAAGCAAAGTGGGAGTTGGGGATGGAAAATGAACTCTTGACGTTTCCCCCCTCTCGAGGTCAAAGTTCAATAGGTTTTATGTTGATCTTTTTACCAGTGATGTGACACTTTATTTTTTTAGGGCCCTCATCTGGAAGTGCATTAAAAAACGAAGGGGGGCTGTACACGCACACGTGGGCACATGTACGCATGGGTGGAGTTTGGGGGGTGGGGCACTGGGGGGCAATGCCGTCCCCCAAACTGGACGCCTTTATCAATTTATTTTGAGTAGTTTACGATTAAGTTTAAAAATACATTAATTATATGCACCCGCTATTCCTAATGTGAGGGATAAAGCGAACCCCACCCCCTAATATATAAGTCAAACTCCGCCTGTGCATGTACAGTACTTGTACACGTTTTTATCAAGTCTGCACTTTTTAGCTTTGTTGCGGCCAGATCATTTAAGTGAAGCAATTTGGCCCTTTAAAATAAGGCACAAAGTGAATTGGTCCTACAATGTAGGGCAATGTGGAAAACTGTAAATACCTATACTTCTGCAGGACCTGGCTAACCAGCCGAGTTAAACGCTTCCAGACTCAAATTGTGCATTACAACAGAATTGTAGAGAATTACAAAGCTGTCGTTCACTGCATGTAAACGAGGGATGAAGCGGTGGGACGGTGACGAGCTCACCGTCCTATGAACCCAGTGACCTGAATTCGACACGTGGTCATGACTAACATCAGTGGCGAGTTCTGGGCAGTCCCCTTCATCAACTTGCACCGGTAAGCGTGGTGAAGGTTGACCGGCATAGAGAGGCCTTGATCCAGCAGTGGGATTGATGCAAGCTTGTACATCAGCACGATCAGTTTAACGCGTAGGCTTTCGCGACCAATATTATTCATAATAATGTTTTTTGGGCTTGATCGCGTAAGTATAAATGTGTCCTAACGCGCGACCACCCGACACAGCCGGTTTAGTTTGTCACGTAGACAAAACGTGCGAATTGGCTCTAATGAGCAGCACTACTCTCCCCCTACCCCACACCCCCCTCCCTCTCTATCTCTCCTCCCTGGCTCCTCCTCCCTCTCTTACCTATATAGCCTCTTGTTACAGCAGCCCTTTTGCCCACTTCAACAATTGTTTCTTGCTGTGGTTGTCCCACCTGATGACGAACGCTTGTGTTGCGCCCAAAACGTCACGATTTAATTTATGTTATGTTATACTTACGTGACTTTACCGAAAGAACCAAAGAGTATGGCTCAGTGTTGACGTCATCTTGCTCTATTTAAGACCGGAAGCAGGGGGATTGGCTTCACAATTCTGGAAAATCGCCTGATGATGCCGGTTGATGAAATTACCAGAGAAACGCCTTGTTCAAATTGTAAATGTTGCACCGATGGGCTGAAGTGGTAACTAACTGGCACGTTTACATGACAAACCTTACTGGTTGTGTCGGGTGGTGGTGCGTTACGACAAATTTATATTTACGCGATCTAACCCAAAAACCTTTATTATGAGCATGATCACAGTTCAATGCTGATGGTTTGAATGTAGGTCAAACCTGTGCAGCGAAGAATGGTTTTGTATTAACCCAGTGAGGGTGGACTGCTTACTGTACACTCACCGAGGACGTGGAGATTAGGTTTTGTAAAGTGCTATGGGGTGCGAAAAAATGAAACCAAATAAAAAGTAATATAAAAAAAAGTTTTATGAAATGTACTAGCAATGGCAGAACTCCACGACTCCAGGAAGTGGCCCCGAAGCTTGCCACAACGTAAGAGACCGTGGTGAATTACAGCCAACGTCAGTTGAGCGTGGACAATTAGACCCAAGCCGAAACATAACATGTAAAAAATAATGTTTAAAAATATTTATTTTTATGAGAGAATATAGTATTGACATACGTATACCAAGTTTGCAGTCCATACCACATTGGGAAGTGGGTTAAAATCGAATTACAAGATTTGAGGATACAACGACAACAACAACAGAGCATTGAGCTGGCACCATCGATATCCGAGGTTAGAACCCTGGTAGCTGCCTGTTGTTGCATCGTTTATTCAAGTGTGTTGAGTTTATGGTCACATACTGGTTACCAGTAGCCAAACACAAAATAGGAAATTACATTTGGTTCTGTATTTAATTTTGCTAAAATCCAGACAATAATGTATCTCACTGGCAGAGCGAGTTGGAATACTGCTGCCCGGTATTGTGCAGACCAGAAGTCACTTTCAGGAATGACGGTGGTAGCTTCATGAACCGTTCTCGAGCACAAAGAGTGGCACTGATCTGCAAGAGATCGGAATGGGATCCTTCGTCTTGTAAAAATCACGCCGATAGGGCAACTGGGATACAATTGTGGGAAAAAAAAGAAAAAAAATGAAAGTCTCTCTCAAGTCCAGAAAATGCTTGAATTTTATTGACAAGATTCCACAGAAATTATTATTTTTATCTATGTCTGTTTGAATGTGGGACAGACCAAAAGCAATGCCTCCTAGTTTTTTCTCACCATCTTATTATTGAACATAAAGGCATCTCGCTCAACGAGCGAGATATACGTTTCGCCAAAATTGCCCGTTCAGCGAAAATTTGTTAAACGATCATCCGTTTCCCATTGACTCCCACGTTAAAGGCTCACCTACGTTTCAGTCCCAAAATGTTCCACTCTTCAACATCTTATTAAAGTGAGAAATACAAATTAAAAATGTTTAATAAGGTAATAAAACATCAAATGTAACACTAACCACACGCGATCACCTATGAAAGCCGGGACAGCACACAAAGAGGTGGGTTGCCAGCACCATGCCCTACTGCCTTTATCTCCCCAGTGGTGATGTTTACATACCGCGCCAGGTACTTATTTGAGGCTGAATCGACCTAGGGGAGGCCCTGCACCGGTTCAGATAATCGCGTGTGGCAATCGAACTCGGGTCACCGGTTTCGTTGCACCGCCCGGTATCCACTGTGCAGTGGCTCCCCACACCCACCCCTCCCGCCACCCATAGTCCATGGGCCCAGACCAAAAATAAAATCACTTATTGGTGGCAAAGTCTAGTAATGATTTTTGTAATTCTCCATGTGTGTGGGACATAACCTTTGCGGAGTGGCAGCTTAGTTGTAGTTACCGTGACTTTTATACACCCAGACCCTATGACAGGCGTCCGGAACGATGAAATGGGCATTATTACTGAAAAGCTACCTCGACCAAAGCCAGTTAGGTCACAAACTGGTCTTTATTGGTTTAAATACACAATGAAAACAGAGGATAATAAGGAATACCATAGCTATAGTGAGGTAAGGAACTACTTTAATATTATAAATATTGACATTCGCATATACTTAGTCAATGATACATGTAATCCCATATATATGGTTAGTGATGGGTATATGTGAAGAAGGTTACATTATTGTTATCAAGCTCTGTGTGTACTTAGATGGTGTTAACAAGGGTAACCAAGTCCAGAATCACCACACTGTGCATCAATGTATACTACTACTACCATAGTAATACCATCAGAATCACTACCCTGTGTCTCTCATCAAACTGCTCGTCTATCTCGTCATCTGACTCCCCGAGTTCAAAGTCAGGTTCTGGATCATCCTGCAGTTTTTGGTTACTGCAGGTCTGTAACCTGCACATGTCTGTGCATGTCAGTCCTTTTGACAGGCACGTGCAGCTTGGCATTTTGCATGAACGCACACACTTGCATACTAGCAGTTCCAAGACCACATCTGGTGCGGGTGGGGAGCGCATCCAGTAAATGGCCAGCTTGCCATCATCGTCTGTCCATCCACACTCAGTAGGGCTTGGCACCACAGGGTTAGCCTACAGACAGCACTTCTATATTGCTGCCTGATAGTTGGCTCGTTGAACATGCATGAAGAGGCAGTCTCTACATGGTGGCAGCTGGCTGGACTCGACTTCTCCCCTTTTGGTGCAGAAGAGCTGGTAGCGCAGTTCGTTCACCGCACCAGTGATGCTATTAGCAACATACATGCGACAGGTGAATTGCTCAATTTTCTGGAACAGCTCATCACTCACATTCCATAACTGCCCCAGTCGACTGAACGTCTCTTGGCAGTAAGTGTCCTTTCTCACCATCTTCAGGGCATTCAGCTTCCCTCGACCGGCGAATGCACTGACAGTGTCGCAGCCTGTGAAGGCGTGTAAGCCAATTAGGCTGTCACAGATGCTGTCTCCAAGTGACCTTGCCAGTTTGCTGATATCGACAAACCGTGTGCGGTTCTGTGTCCCACACTTCTGGTAGATGGGACAGGTGATGTCCTTTTGGAAGCCAAGACAAAGCACCATGACATCAGTGTCCTCATTTGTGATGATAACTGCCTTTGAGTCCACATTTGCTGCATGCAATGCATGCAGGAGCAGA